CCCCCGCCGCGGGAGGAGGATGAGGCGGCGGCGGCGGCTCCGGCTGAGGCGGGTGCCCCATGGCGGAGGTAAGTGAGGCGCGGGCGGTCCCGCAGCCGCCTCGGCCGAGTGGGCGGTCTGGGCTGTCCGTGGGGGTCGAGCGGTGGGGACGCGAAAGAGGACGCTTTTGTGAGCCAGGCAGAGTCCCACAAAGAAAAAATTAAAAAAGAAAAAACAAAAAAAAAAAGCCAGGAGGGAGCCTTGTCTCCGGCGGTGTGCGGGGCTGGCCCGTGCCCTGCCCGTGTCCCGGGCGGCGGGAGCCCAAGGGCCGAGCGGCGGGGCCGCGCTGCCGCGGAGCCTCCTGCGCCGGAGCGGGGCCAGCCCCGCAGCGCTGCCCTGGCCGGGCACAGCCCGGACCCAGCGCCGCTGTCACCTGCCGGGCAGGGTTGTAAGGCCAGGACGGACAGTTCTGCTTGGCATTTCCTCCGGCATCGCCTCTCTTTTCTTCATGGGAGCACACAGGCTTCTCGGGAATATCACTCAGCTTCTCCAGGGTGTTTCACATGGTGCACCCCTCACCTGGGCGCAGCGCACCTGTGTGTAGTAATGCGGTAACTACACTTGTCAGGAACATTTCTTACACGTAGAGGGTCTTACTGTGCCAGGGCAAACCTCCGGGCTCCTTTTCTCTGCCCTCCGTTATCAGCGCGGCAGTTTCAGAAGTGGCCGTGAAGCGATGGGCAGCCAGCAGCGCTGAGCAGTTTCCCTGATGTTCGCGCCTCGTTCGGTCCCTGCTGCGCTTCTGTCGCCTTGTGCCCGCTCCGACCCCCGTCCTGCACGGAGCTGAAGAGCTGTGCGCACCTGTAGCTCCAAGATTAGCCAAGCCACTCAGCTGCGGGGCTGGCTTTTCCCAGTTAAACTGCTGTTGTTGGAATAGAGTTTCATTGTTTCCTACGTAGTTTATGATCTGGGACTTTTGTGGAGCACTTTGTGGATACAAAAGGTCCAGGAATGCCAAGACGGTGGGCTTGTAACTCTGATGTTCAGTGCATTTTGAAATACCAAGTTGAACTACCAACATTTTTCAAGTTGGTTTTGAACAATTGTGAATAGCTGGTTCTTATTATGAATTAATGGACTAGAATCAACTGGTAATTGTTTAATTTGTCATACATGATAGATTTTATTTTTCTTTTTAAAATTTCTTTTAACTTTTTTCTCTTTCCCTATTTCCCCATGTGTTAACTTGGTTATTTTTGTAAAGTAGTTGCAAAACTAATTTCAACACCCTGACTGTAAGAGATGACTCTCTTTATGTGGAGAGAAGATGATTCATTTCTTTGCTAAGTGTAGCTCTGGGCCTCTCTCTCTTTACTGCAGTACATTTAAGTGGAATAATGATTGGAGCAAGATAAGGCATTGTTCAGTTTTTGAAATAAAGTGTAAAGGGACATCTGTCTAGAAACTCCCATGTCACTTCCACCAGACGTCTTTCAGGTCCAAAAGTAGATCAAAAAGTAGATCTTTGTTTTTAAGGTGACTTTTGGTGGCTTTGACTGAGTCTACTTATGATGTCAAAACGTTATTGTAATAGTATAATGGATTCCAGAGTGGTTCAGCTGATTTGTAACCTTCAATTTGCCTTTTGTAAAAATAGGTTTGAGCTATTTTTAGCATTTCTCTTATCCACACTAGATCAGGATGAAAAGTCTGTGTAAACAGATGGAAGTATTTGATTTGGGCTTTTCTGCTTGGTATTGTGTGGCATCATGAAAAGTTTGCAGGTGGATTGATTTTATTCATTGGATTTCAGTCCCTGGTGGGAACATTTTTGGCAACACAGTGCAAGCTATTGGTCTTCATCTTTTGAGATCTGGTGCTTAAAACTACTCTTGAAGAAAACTGCAGATGAAAATTAATTCAGTAGCCAAAGCATGCTGTTGAGGGATACTAAACTGCAGGGTTTTGCTTATTTTTCTGTCCTATGCTAAGATGAGGTGCAGTGTTAGAACAGGCTGAGCACTTTGGTTTTGACAAGAAGTGAAGTGAGTAGGGGGGTTCCTACACTCAGCTTGCTGCCCAGCAGTGTGGGATCAGCCCCAACCTTCGTATTAACTACACTCCCAGCAAACTATTTCATTCTGTTTCTGTAATCAAACATAGCCTTGCTGATGAAATGTAAACCCCACAATATTTTATTGCTTTAGTAATAGGAAATAGCAAAATATACTTCCTCTGAAATACACCCTTTAATGGAGAAAATATCCATAATATCTCAGTGTCTTGCTACTCGTTTTCTTAGATGGATGTGTGTAGCAGAACCTGGGATAGAAGTGTCTGTACCACTACAAAGACTGCATTTAAAAAAGGGGTTTTGTTCCAAGTTCTGCGCTGTCCATACTGCCCTGTCCTGCATCCCCTACAGCAGGTCAGAGCAGGTGCTGGTAGGTGTGCCCTATGGCTTAGGGTATTAATTTAATGCCTCTGCACTCTTCTGATCTGGGTCAGCTACAGAATCAAAGCTTGTCAGTTTCATTCTCAGGGATGTTTAAGATTGAGACTAAGCTCCCTGAAAACCATAAGCTTGGAGGAAAAGAAAGAAAAAAGCAATAAATGTTTGCTTTGGATAACTGGAAAAACATGCATCAGTTCATGCAAGGAAATGGATTCATTTCTGTAGTAATGAAAGGTGGTGATTCAGGCCCTGCCTCTTCGCAGAACACCTGAGTCCAAGAGTTCAGGCTCCAGTGGGAATGTTTGCTAAGGAAACAGATAAAAAGCCTAAGAGTGAGCCAGGTCTTTTCTTTGGGGTGATTATTTCTCATGCTGCTTTTATTTTCCCAGTTCCAACAGTGTTTGTGCTGCACCTAGTCATTCTCTTCACAGTTTGCTGGAAAAAGAGATTGCAAAAAACTGGTTGGTTTTGCTTGTGTTCTTTTTAAGAAAGGGTTTGTAATGGGAGCACCACTTGCTTCTTAATATTCAGCACCTGTTTGAAAGCTGACATTCCCTATTGAAAACAGGGTGCCTGGCTTTTTTTGTTCTACTCAAACCTACTCATACAAGTAAGTCACATTGAGTAGACCACGTTAAATTACTCACACAGGTAAAGTTGGGCATATCTGCTTATTTTTCCCCAACACGCTTGTACAGTATTGTTGGATTGCTCAAGGAAATAGCTTATTTTAAGGAAAACTATAACTGAAATTTGGAGGCACTGTGTGGTTGTGTACATTTTGAAGTTTTAAGCTCAGAAAGAGCCAAAAAAAAGGGGAGGCAGGGGGAAGACACGTAGCTGATACAGGGTATAGGCCTTAAATTGCTGGGAAAAAGAGAGAAGTCATTCTACAGGCACATAACTTGGGTTGCATTCCATGCCCCATTCTGCCAGCTGCATTTTCCTTAGGCTTCTCAATGTAACTCTGCCTGAAAACACTTCTAAAAGCTCTTACACTAAGCCCTAAGTCCATATGAAAAATGAATGGGACACATTTTCCAAAGCACCTTAAAAACTGCCTGTGGGGAAACGGGGAGGCCTCAGTGCTACAAGGTGTGGCATCAGTCCTATGTGTATGGTAATAGTATTCCCCAACAGAGAAAGTCTCAAGAAGCTTGTCACTCAGCAGTGTCTTAGCTGAAGGTCATGCAAGGGTTCAGTGATTTGCTTTTCCCTTTCTTTTTTTGTATATCAGTATTTCTGTGTGTGCAAGTGTGTTTATTATGTATGTAGACATTTGAAGAAAGGGAGGTTAAAAACGCAGTGGTTTCTTTATCTTTTACAGAACATACATGGGAAAATATCTAGATTAGCAAGAATGGACTGTGTAGCTCTTCAGCTTTTTCTCTGTGTTAGTCTTAGTGTAAAAATGTTCATTCCAAATCACATGAACCCCAGGCAGGGATGCTGCCCATGCCAGCAGAGGAGGCAGTGCCTGAATGAGAGCAGGAGTTGCTGTGCTGGGTCATTGCACTGCATGTGAAACAAGCTCCAGCTCAGGGTGGGACAGAGAAGGAAGGTTCTGCTCCCACACAAGTCATGTAGGTTTGTTGTATCTGAATGTATTGCATTCTTTCAACAGATCTTTGCGGCCCTTCCCAAGAGCTGAATTCCTGCACTTGATTAAACAACACCTGCTCTAATTAATAATTAACAGCATAACATTTCTGTTGTTTATGAATTATAAAATTTAAGGAAGAAGATGCACAGTGGATACTTTGTATTGTTTGCACTGTTGTCTCTATGTTACTTTTTAGAAAGAGCAGTTTGAGTCAAACTGAGTATGAGGTTATGTAAAACCTCGTTCAAGCACAGTTCTTTGCACACCATCAGAGGCAGAGTTTTATGGTATTAAAGCACTGGAAGGGGGGAATCCATCCCAGATTTTGAACACCATTTGAAGTATTTATATTGAGTAAGAATAATTTGGGTTATGGATTTTTTTTTTCCTTGGTGAGTGTCAAAGTTTGGTAAAGTAAAAGTTAAGTAGGAACCAGGTAGGCTTTTCTCTGAAGGCTTTTCTCCACAGGCTGTTTCTGTAATCCATTTGAGAGCTTCCTACTGAAGCTGTGTGCTTAACTTACAGAACATATTTCAAATTATTCTTTTCTTTTTTTCTTTTGGGTTCATTGAGCAGTAGGACATGGCAGTATTGCTGTGGAGTGATGTCTGGAAGTAGATAAATGGGATGAGTTCCTGCTTGTGAATGGCCCTTACCTGTTAGCCAGAACTCACCTTAAGGAAGTGGAGGAAGGACTTCATGTTGTTTCAGAAAGAGGTGGCATAAGAGAAAAGCCTCAATCTTAGTCTTGCAAGGGTTTGAAAAAGCCTAGTCAAAGGAGTGTTCAGGGAGGGTGTTGGAGGAAGTTGGAGTTGTGGTGTAGGGCTGACTTACACCAGCATTTTCCTGCTCTCTGGAGAGCGGCCAAGGTATTGTCAGTGCAGGGGGTGGATGAAAAGTGCCTGTGCGAGTAGATGAGGGGAATATCAGGCATAAAGAAGGAAGAATTAGAGTGTGGTAAATGTGGAAAGTAGAAGAGGAATTACAGGTGAGGGTCAGAGGGAAGGTGTAGATACTCAAATCCTAGAGGA